TATGTATGTATGTATATATGTATATATGTATATATGTATATATGCATGTGTATTGTGTGTATATAGGAAGATATAAAACTGTAACATACTTGTTAATAACATTAATATGTCTTGTTATTGGGATTTATTCCTGTTTAGACATTAAACAATTTTTTTTTAATTTCTGTCCATCAATCGTCATGGCAATTGAAAAGAAATTGAAGAAAATGAAACTGTAACCTATTCTAGACTTGTCATTTCTGCAGTTTCCCTTTTGAAGAAATTTTTATTAACCCGAAGGCTGATGAAGTTTTTTTTTTTAATTTCCCCGGACTATAATAATAACCCGACGAATCACCAAGGCGTTGATGAACCACAAAAACAAAACATTCTACCACCTTGCAATGCGATAACAAGCACACTCGCGTTCTTCTGTTTCTCCACGCCTTCTCAATTATTTTTTATAGGCCCAACTCTCCAAAGGTCATCGGTCAAAATGGTATTTGAACCCTGAAATGGTAGGTACTTAAATAATAATTTTTATCGAGCCCGACATCTCTCGAGATGTTATGGGCTTTAAAAGCTTGAAAGGCTTTTGGTAATTAGTCTCGGAACAGAGGATTCGATTTCACCACGTTATCAGCAAACGGTGGTTCGAGTTGACTCTTAAGAACAAGTAGGAAGAGATAATCTAGCCACCCACAGACTTTCTATGAATATTGATCGATAAGAGTGATTTCTGTGGAGAGTAACCTAAAATCGGAAAGAAAGTGCTCGGCTCATGTCCAGTACTTCAGATGGTCACCTACAATGGGAAGGCACATAAATTATTCATGGGACAATAAAATACAATGATACACAATTAATTTAATATCGCTCAAATATAATAATAATAATATATTTATTCGATNAATTGCGAGAAAGAATTACGCAAGCATGTCGCGCCATTACTAGAACAACATTTGCCATAGTTTGTGCACAATTTGAAAGTAGGCTGTATTATTGTTTACAAAACAACGGAACCCACTTTGAACATTTACTTAATTGACATTTTTAATAAATTTGTAGCTCAACAAAAACCTCATTAAATATTCCACTAAAGCCAAAGTTTCACAATTATTGCTTGACCGTGTACAATTATATTATTCATACCATTGGATAGCATTTTTTCTTCTCTTTTCAATGATGTATCACAAGTAGGGTTTTGCAATTTAAACTTTTTGTGTTTTGGTGGGTGGGGCCTAGGGGGTTGATGGGGGTGAGTTCTCACTAAAGTGACATGAAAGAGAACTCACCCCATGACTATAATAGAAACGGTTTCAAGTATTTTTCGATATCAGCTTTCGTTCGTGAGATATAGCCCATTGTAAGTTTTAAAATTGACACACTGTATGTATAACTTTTCATTCGACGTATATTCATCAATAATTTTAATTTATCAACTTTACTTTGAAGCTACCAATTATTTCATGGTGATCCAAAAGAAATTTTTCAAACAGTATTCAAAAATGAAAATGAAAATGTTTGGCAATGGATTTATTGTGGTTTATTGTATAACAACCTGGAGCAGCACAAATATGTAGTTATTATATAGATAAATAAAGAGGTTCTTTATAAAAAAAATATATCAAGAAGTATGAATAAAAATAAGTTAACAAGATAATTTTTCCCGAAGTTCATTAGCACAAGTAGTAGGTGCCTGAATTTCTTCAATTACTAATTTTGATATTTACGAGTAATGAGTTGAAATAATATTTTCTCATAAAGGTTCACCCGTTTTAGGAGGTATTTTCAAACCTCTGGAAAAAGTGTGAATATTGGTTCCACACTTCGGGGAGGCAGGACTTTTTTTGGTAAATTTCCTCCTCTTTTTGAATATTTTTTCAAATTTGTAAAATATCAAATAGTTATTGAAATACTTGCAAAAAAAAACAAACCCCATTTTTCTCAGTTAATCAATAATAATTTTTGAAAGCTTCACTTGAATTTTTTCAAAAATCATCTACACGCTATTCCGAATCGAATCATATTTTTCGGAAGCGACCTGGAAGGCGGTTGTAAACTGGACTTTCATTGATACTTTATAGGGCTTGCGATCTGCTAATTTCGATTATATCGATAGCACCGCGACTTAATCTAGCTGTTTCCTTCCGGTAGGCAACGTATAAAACATTTTCCTGCTTCCACAAAACTTCCGATATTCTCCGAACCGACTCGAAAAATATAGCGAACTTACTTAACCGATTTCCGAGAACATTTCACTACTTACCGTCCACATTCCTCACTCCCCCCCCCGATTTGCGTCACTGACCAATTTATTCTCATAAGCCTGAAAAGAGAGGGAATGATACGTCGGAGAGCGCAAGACGGAGACAGAACATCGCCTCAGCCTTGTACGTTTTATAAAAGCAGTTTCGCCAAACAATCCTCACTTCATACTTCATTTGTTCTGTTCTAGTAAACATTGGCTACTTGATCGTGCAGTTAATTCGCCGATAAAAACGTATCTGGTCTTTCGTGGTACAGGTTAATTTTCCGTACAGCCCACATATGTCTCAGCTAGTGCCGTTTTTGAATTTCGGTTTGGATTATTCGGAGTGTGCGGACAACTCGGACTTTTTGTACAGCTATCGGTTTCCAGAAAAAAGCAAAATGGTAAGAAAATAATCTATTTGTGACTGGTTTCAGCTAACGATTAGGATTTGTCAACTTTTTTGCGATTCAAAACGAATTCGCTCCGCCTTTTCCAATGTTCTTACGCAATTGTTTAAACAGTTGAAAGTGATGATTCATCGTTTCTTGGCGAGGCAGCAGTAGCGCTCGATTCGTATTTGTTTTTATCAATAACGTGTTGATATTGTTTCCTGCTACAGCAGTTAATTCGCTTTTAACAGCTTAGTTTTATTTACGTTCTTTCTAATCTGGCATACATAGTGTTACAAGTTTTTCAACGGGATTGCTAATTTGAACGTATCGTATCTCTTTCGTTCCTGATAAGAGGTTCAATGCCAAGTGCCATGACTTTCCATAGGTTGTGTCTGTACGTGTATACTTGATGTGCGTAGGTTAGTCGAATAAATTTGACTGATATTACCGTTTCGGTAAAGGTGGGGATAGTTCATTATCCGATTTTGATGAAATTTTCAGGGAGGCTTCAGAATACTCTTAAACACATTCAACGATGAACAATTTCGCGCGGAAAAATTCGGAAGTTACTACTTTCAAACAAATAGGTATTCAAGTGATCAGACTTCGACTATATACGGAAATGTCAAATTCAGCTGTTTATCTACATGTTTACATGTTCGAAATTGGTATAACAAATTTGCAGATATTCTGGTAAATATTCGTTTTGAGGGCANAAAGATCAAGATCTTCAGATGATGTGGTGCTGCAGGTTTTTCCGGGTTTTCCTGCACCACTGGAATCAATGAAGTCGCCCCGGAGCGCCAATTAATTTTTATTGTTGTTTTTATTTTATTTTCATCGTTATTTTATTAATAAAAAAAGTTATATATACTTAAAGTAACATTATAAATAATAGTTCTCGCGTACCAGTTTGATTATCTGAGAAATAATGTATTTTTGGTCTTTTGGATCAAAGTAATATTCAATTCAAGAGGTTTATTCATATAGGAATTCTGGCTGCCATTCAACTCCATTAAGATCATTCTTTTTGATAAATATTGATTTTTGAGATTGTGTAAGTACGAAGCTTTTTGAAAAAAGCTTACGTCGATAGTGTAAAATAAACATAACCTAAGCATAATTCCAAAATGAGTACCATATATATCCTCTTTATCAGCAAGTTATGTGAAATTAAATTCTTAACTTTGTATTCAAAAATTTCTTGTAAATTCGCTAAATTGTTTATGTGTTAAATTTTCTGAGTTTTGTGTATTAATTATTTTGACTGGCCTTGATTGGTTTAATTTTTACCGTGAATCAGAAAGAATTTTTTCGTTGATACTAACATTTTTCACAAATTCAATTTCCTCACAAAACTTATTGTTGGCAAACGGAAATATCTGGTCATGGCAGCTTTGATTTTATATTTCTACTGTGTTCAGTTAATGATAAAAATTAGACAAACGCTTGAGAGCATCAAAACGTACTAGGTGATATTTTCATTTCATATAACTGACATACAGAGTGGTACAACGAAAAGTATGCACCTTGCTTTTCTCCTTTTTTTTGTAACTTAACGCAAAAATGCTCGGACAGGTCAATTTTGCTTTTGAGGGGGACACATTTTAGATGTATTTTTCTACCTGTGCCTTCAACCCCCTAGCGAGGGTGAGTAACAACCCTAAAATTTTAAATGGAAAGTGGGGTCGAGTGATATATCACT